GAAATATTTCCACACCAGAAGGCAGCTGTGAAGCTGGGATGGGAAGGGAGCGGGCTGGGGGCCAGGCAGTACGGAGTTACAAACTCGCCGAGTTATCACTGTGATGTAGAACAGAGTGTTTACATACAGCCCCAAGACACAGAGGCTGGCTTTGTCTTACCATTTGGGCGCAGTGAGAAAATATAACTAATCAAAACTCTCTGGGAGTTTGTGTCGTTCCTTTGAACAACTGCTGTCCACGGGAAGGTGCTCAGGAAAGGGACACGAGCAAGCCTAGACAGCCCTCGTTCGGTTGTTTCCCATCTATCCGTGCAGCTCAGAAGACGAAGGAGAAATGGGTCTTTCCACGGTGGCCCTCACTCACAGTGCACACCCTCGGGCCAGTTCTTCCTGGAGCAGTGGTGGCCTGCCCCCTCTGTCCAGAGGTGTCCCTGCTCTAGCCTCCTTCTCTCTGAGTACCTTTATTTGGTAGAATAAGGGAAGATATTCACCATGACTACTTAACAGTATGGAGTTAACGCCTTATTTGTCAATCACTTCACTTATAGAAGATGCAGTGTTCTAACGAGAGGGGTGGGGGAAAGGCATGCTGGGAACAGTAACCCTCCCATGAGGTTGTTCGGTGCCTGATGCAGTTGATAGCTCCCTCATACAGATCGTCTTGTTTTCATTGGAATCCTCATCACTGCCCTTCAGGTAAAAAGGAGCAGGTATTTTTCCACCATCATTTTATAGAGGAAAAAAATCTGAGGTCAAAAGAGGTGAACGAGTTGCTCTAGGTCCCGGAGGTGGGAGGACCCAGGTGTCCTCATCTCCAGATGCAGCATCAAAAGGCAAATTTCTAGGGAACAAACAAAGACTGACAGTCTCTTCTGTCACAACCAAATTATCTCTACGTAAAGTGTATTTTTGTTTAAGTTTGTTTATTTTGAGGAGGAGTGTGAGTGAGCCAGGGAAGGGCAGAGAGAGAGGGAGAGAGAATCCCAAGCAGGCTCCTTGCTGTCAGCACCCAGGCCAATGTGGGGCTCAAAATCGCGAACCATGAGACCATGACCTGAGCTGAAATCAAGAGACAGTCACTTAACTGCCTGAGCTGCCCAGGTGCCCCATTATCTCTACATAAAGTTGTATGCAGATACAAGAAGAACCTGTCTTATAATTTTGTTGTGTCTGATCAGGATCCATGGCTAGACAGGCTTAGTGTGGTGCCTGGCACATGAAGCAATTATTGAATGGTGAAAAGAAAGAAGGAGGGAAAGGGAAGAAGAAAGTTCTTCTGTTGTAGGGAATGACATTGGCCACACAGTACACCCAAACCCTCCTTAGGAGAATGGTGTTATGGCAGAAACCCACTGCAGTTGACTCACACTCAGTAAATAGGAACTGACTAAGCAGAATTCTGGAACTGACAGAGACCTTAGAGGTCATACTAAGCCATGCAGTTTTGTTTGCTAAGTTACTTACGCCCCTCTGCGGGCACTTGTTTGCCCCTGACTATCAGCTGATCTCAACTCACATTCCACACACCAATATTTAAAGCAAATACTTCCTGGACTAAAAATAAAGTACACATAAAAGTCTGTTTAAATGAATCATTCTTCTTTTGGAAGCTAAAAAGGAGAGGGAGAAGAGCTGCTGATATGCTCTGGGACTACTGGCAATGTGAACAGTCTCTCTTTGATCCTCTGAGAATTTCCAAGTTGAAAACACCATGTGGAGATGACTCCTTCCCTCGGGATATGGGCTGCGTCTGACCTTCCCCTATGAGTGTTAGTTTTGACTCTCTCTCCCTCTCTCTCTCTCACCCTCTCTCTCCTCCCCTTCCCTCCCCCATCACTCCTTCTCCTTCCCCTTCCTCTCTCCCTTGCCTGCCTGTAAATGACTTACTCAGTAAATTGTGGCTGAGGAAATGAGAGAGGCCTGCAATGTGTCCTAGCCTGGAGCCAAACAAGGAACCTTATTTAAAATAAGGTTAGGGGTGCCTGAGTGGCTCAGTGGGTTAGACATCCAACTTCAGCTCAGGTCATGATCTCACAATTCATGGGTTCAAGCCCCGCGTCAGGTTCTGTGCTGACAGCTCAGAGCCAGGAGCCTGCCTTGGATTCTGTGTCTCCCTCTCTCTCTGCCCCTCCCCTGCTTGAGCTCTCTCTAAAAAAAATAAACAAACATTTAAAAATAAATAAAATAAAATAAAATAAAATAAAATAGTTAGAAGTTGGCCATTAAGCCTGTGGAATGGCCTTCCTTTTCCTCTCACCTCCCATCACATGTTCGTTCATTCATTTGTCCTACAAACATTCACTCATTGTCCACATATAGGTACATATACGAATAAGAAATCATCTCTACTGCCAAGGAGCTCTAGTCAAGTAAGGAGGAGCGGGTGTGGGGGGAAGGTGCAGGAACGAGGCTGAAGAGTGGTAGAGAGAACACACAAAGGGCCTCGTGCGCTATTCTAAGGAATTTGCACTTGATCCCACAGGTCACTATTTCCTGAACATGGTGTGGAAAATTGTGTTGATCAATATTCTAAAAAAGAGGGGTGCCTGGGTCGCTCAGTCGGTTAAGCGGCTGACTCTTGGTTTCAGTTCAGGTCGCGATCTCATGGTCCATGGGTTCGAGCCCCACATCCGGCTCTGGGCTGACAGTGCAGAACCTGCTCGGGATTCTCTCTATCCCTCTCTCCCTGCCCTTCCCCCTCTCACCCTCTCTGTCTCTCTCTCAAAATAAATAAACTTAAAAAAATATTCTAAAAGAGAACGTATCACCTATTCTTATGTATCCACAACTTATTTTTATTACAACATCATCCAGATGTATACAAACACAAACCAGGTATAATTTCCCAATGTTTATAACCATGATATAATAATAAAACCAAAACAAATTTATTTTTTTTTTAATTTTTTTTTAAATTTTTTTTTTCAACGTTTATTTATTTTTGGGACAGAGAGAGACAGAGCATGAATGGGGGAGGGGCAGAGAGAGAGGGAGACACAGAATCGGAAACAGCCTCCAGGCTCTGAGCCATCAGCCCAGAGCCCGACGCGGGGCTCGAACTCACGGACCGCGAGATCGTGACCTGGCTGAAGTCGGACGCTTAACCGACTGCGCCACCCAGGCGCCCCAACCAAAACAAATTTATAAAATAAAACCCAATCTAATTCAAATTAACAAAACCCACTCGAGGCAACGCATGTTATTATTTAACTGGAAGCAAAAGACTACTGGCATGTGAACACGGCACTCACTACAAGCATGTGTGTTATTTTTAATTCAGCATGCCTACATGACCATGCACTAACTCTTCCAATCCTTCTTTCTAGTCAAACTAGCATGAAACTGTCATCAAAAGAGACTGTGGTGATGTCACGTGGCCACCACATCCCTTGCCTGTGCGTCAACTGCACTTCCTTTCTCGGTAGCCTGGGACAATAAAAATAGGGCAACTTGGCTCCTTGATTACAAGTGGTCATTAAATGTCCTAGAAGATGCCTCTATTTACATTTTAAACTGTCCTTAAAATTTAAAAAAAAAAAAAAAAGATGCTTAAAAATGTCTGAGAGAACCCATCAGCCCCAAGAGCACTTTACTAAAGACCATAGCCTGAAGTTTGAGGAAATATTACATAAGTGCTTGGGGCCCATCGCTGAAAGACTTTGAACAAGAAAGTGATGTGATCAGATTTCCATCTTAGGGCAATTATGCCACGGGCAGCAATGATGGCACATTAGAGGAGAGAGATACCAGGAGAGAGGAGGTCACTTGGGAGACAACTATGATCATGTAGGCAAATGATGATGAGTGACCTTGCAAGCATAAGATGATGAGGTATAAGAGAATAGACTGGAAATGTCTGCAAAAGGCAGAATTCATAGAACTCAAAGACTCATTACTTGTGACGGGTGAAAAAAAAAAAGGCATTTCTAGCTTAGGCAACACTGTTAAACCTGGGGGAGGATGTAAAGGTGAGTTTAGTTTCAGACAGGGCTCCTTTGGAGAGGCTGTGAACTATTGGCTTGGACACAGGCAAATACAGCAGGCTCGAACTGAAGAGAAAAAGCTTCTGGGTGAAGCTGGCATGCCAGGATGGCCAAGTGGTCACCAGCCTACCAACTGTAACTTCTACATCCAAGATTATCTCAGTGCCCACTCCCCCAATTCCCAAACACAATGTTTGTCCTGCCTCCTAGTTGCCACCCAAAGTTCCAACCCCATGTGATCATGGCTGCAATAATCTAATACTCTGATACTAAAGTACAAAATCTGAAAAGACTGACACTTAGTCTGACACTTAATCTGACATTTAGTGTGTGATTGATGGTCTGAATCCTGAAGTGCTACGGTGGACAGAACATGAAATTTGCAATCATTCAGACCATCGTTCCAATTCCTACTCCACCACGTAACTAGTTGTGAAAGCTCAGCAAGTCACTTACTTCTTGCCTTCCTTTTTGCAAACTGGGGTTATAAAATTTTATATCAAAAGCTCATTAGGAGCATTACGTAAAATAGTGCTTATGGTATCTCGCACAGTGCCTTCAACATCTTGGTCAATGAATCTTTCCCATTCTCCTTATATAATAACTAAGATCGTGGACAAAACCAGACTCTGTGGGTCCAAACCATGCTCTACAACATTCTACTGACATCACCTTGGGTAAGTAAACTAACTTCTCTGTAACACAGAGGGATAATTATATTCTCTAGTGCAGAGAGTTATTAGAGTAACTCATTAACTCAACATTCACAAAACTCTGGGCACCATGTGTCTTGCACATAGTATGCACGAAGCCTAAGCTATTATCAATATAATCACTCCTTCCACTCTTCTAATCATTAAGTTTGAGATTCTTTCTTGGTCATCATTTTGATGGAAGAGGATGAACATTCAACATGGCGCTGGGTACCTAAGCCACTCGGTGTGAGGCCCCACACAGAGAGGAAGAAGAGGAAGGTTGATAGCCCTAAAGACATTCTTTGCCTATTTCTCGATACAGGCTGGGCTCTGCAGTGCAGCAAGGAGGGAGACATAGAGTGACTGAAGTCCAAGGTCCAGTGGTGAAATGAAAAGACCGTCAGCAGATATTTGACCCAAGAAGGAGGCATCCGGATGGAAGTACTGTGAGTTCTTATGAGGTATGACAACACTCATTGTTTTCAGCGAACTTTATTTTTCACTTAATGGTAGTTAAATGCCACAATTATGCAGGATTTTGTCCCAAACTAGGAAAAGAAGCAAAACACACGCACGCACACACACACACACACACACACACACACACACACACACCCTTCAAAACCAACTTGCATATACCAAGGGTTAAATCCAGAAAAGTTAGAGCTGGAGAAGACTAGTCAGGAACATGGGCCAGTGAGCAAACATAGATTTTTCTGATATATTCAGCCTTATCATGTCAAGTTTCTGACCCTAATCAACCAAGGTGATGAACAAACTAGTCCCTTTAAAATGTTTATGAAAGAAACCGCTGTGCATTTTTCTCTCTGGACTCTCACTTGGAATTCAAATGCAGCCTGGCTTTTGCAACAATTTAGGCCTGAGAACTGAGCTGAGTTCTCAGTGATTTGCTGCCTCCATCAGGATCAGAGAAGAATATTCTTTACTGCATTTCAATCTGTTTAATCCATAGAGGAGGGAATGACTTCTGTGTCAAAATGGAGCAGAGGGGTCTATTGGAGATGGACATTGTTTATTCGGGTATAAATTTTAATTAGACTTTTTCCCAAATAAAAAAAAAACATGCAGAGGAATAATGTAAAGGTAGTTCTGTCTTTGGGTGAGGCAGATATTATATCTAATCCCAGTTCTGCCATCCACTGTGTGATTTGGGGCATGTCACTTAACCCACTGAGCTCATTGGCCGCAAGTGTAAAATTACAGTGCTACCTGCCTTATAGGCTGGTTATAAAATCCATCATGCTCTGTCCCTAACTCCTGCCTCTGTTTTCTAGCCACTTCCCATGGGCACAGTGTTCTTTAGTCATAACAGGCTACTCAGGGCTCCCTCTGGTCTCTGGTTCTCATTCAAGTCAAGATTCATCTGCCTGGGGTGCCTGGGTGGCGCAGTCGGTTAAGCGTCCGACTTCAGCCAGGTCACGATCTCGCGGTCCCTGAGTTCGAGCCCCGCGTCAGGCTCTGGGCTGATGGCTCAGAGCCTGGAGCCTGTTTCCGATTCTGTGTCTCCCTCTCTCTCTGCCCCTCCCCCGTTCATGCTCTGTCTCTCTCTGTCCCCCCCCCAAAAAAAAAAAAAAAGATTCATCTGCCTGAAACAATCTCCCACCCCACACCCATTTTCCAGGCTGATAGCCTCTCATCCAACAAGCCTCTTTATAGATGTCACTTACTCCAGGAAGTCTTCTTTAACACCACCTCCCCCAGTTAAAGTTTAAGTTGTGTGCCCTCCCATGAGTCCAGGGCATCTATGCATATTCCATCGAAGCACATGTTACACTACCGTATTGATTTTCCATCATGTCCCTGGACTGTGGACTCTGTGTGAGCAGAAACCATGTCCTTCTAATGGCATAGTATCTCTAGGGCTTAGTGCAAGACAAGACATATATGATGCATCCAATATATGTTTGTAAAATTAATTGAAATTTTTAAAAAAATTAAAAAAAAATTAAATGCTGTTCCGTTGCTGTTTATGTGGTTCTGAGATGAAAGTTAGTGCATTAGAAGTTAGACATATTAGAGCATGCTCCAGGATATTTTTCCACGTTGCTGTGGCTAATACTTGCAGTTGTCCTCATGGCCAGACCTTCCTCCCCCCCCCCCCCCCACTTTAGCCCAGACTCCACCTTCCCTTGAAGCTGAGACTTCTGGCTTTCCTTTTGAACACATTCTGCCACCTACCTATGACACTCCAGCCAAGACCCCAACCAAACAAAGCTCAATGCCTGATCTTCTCCTACCTTTGTTGATATAGCACAGTCCCACTCAAAGGGTTACATAAGATTCACTCTAACTTGCTATCTTTGAAACCATGTGACTAAATAACAGTTCTATTGGTCTTTAGTGAAGAAAGATCTAACTCAAGTATCCTCCTTTCTTCCTCTTCCCCTCCTACAGGTCAGATTTTCTAAGAACAAGGGGAGATATACTTCACATCACTTCTCTACTTGGAACTTGCTTCTTAGCACCCTGTTCTCCTTCCCATTCTGCCATGGGCCTCTGCCCCTCCTCACTGATCACCACTGGGAACTCCCAGTCAACCCCCTTTAATGGGTTCCTCTCCCTTCTCATAGGATCAGACAAGAGGTTGATGTGGGTCTGACCACACCTCAGTCAAGTGTGTGGACCTTCCATTCTACATTGTGTCAACACAAAGGAGTAGAGGTATTTTGGTCTTGTCTGAAAACTAGGGTAATTCAAGAAACAAACAACATATTTTCCTATTACAAAACTCAAGTCTGTACACTGCTCATGATTCTTTCTATGGCCTAAGGGAGAAATATCAAATAAGTAGATGTTTCTCATGGGGTTTCCATCATGGGCACATGCCTATTCCCGAAGAGGCTCTCACTTCTTCAAATGCCTCATTCTTCCCACTCTGCAGAGCAATGACCCCAAACTGAAAAATCTAACTCACTACCCAAAACTGATCCAGAATCTATCACCTTCCCAGTGATACATTTCTCTAAGTCTGGGTCAGTCAGCCTAAGGAAACTCAGAGGCACTTCATCAGCAATGGGGGAACATCCTGATTCCAGTGAAGTCTGGACCCCAGAGTAGGAGAGTGCTGTGGCTCCAAGCAGGATTTCTGCACCCAGGTGACCAGGGCTTGAATATGGCTCTGATTTTCCCAGCTGTGTGACTTTTGTCACGATTCTTTTTTTTTTTTTTAATGTTTATTTATTTTTGAAAGCGAAATAGAGCACGTGAGAGCTGGGGGTGTGGTGGACAGAGAGGGGGAGGACAGAGGATCCATAGCAGGCTCTAATGTGGGGCTCAGATCCGCAAACCATGAGATGATCACTTGAGCTGAAACCAAGAGTCAGACGTTCAATTGACTGGGCCACCTAGGTACCCCTGGTCATGTTTCTTAACCTGTCTACACCTCAGCCTCCTTATTTGTGATATGATGATAATAATAGTGATACTTTGCAAGTAGTCAGGCTTTAAAGAGTTAAGACATTAATAGAACAGAGCTTAGCAAAGAAAAAGTGCTGAATAAATTTTAGCTACCGCTATATATACATTTCCCCATTAATGTAGACATGTCTATCACTTTTTCTGTTTAGCAAGTAATTGTTGAAGCAGACATAAACACCTTCACAGGCATCTTCTGAGAACAAATACTAATTCCCAGATAGCACAATCTGGAAACATTTTTCTGAATGACTCAGGAGGAAATCTCAAAGTGGAGTCAGTACATAAAGTTCACTCCTTATGAACCTTCAACTTACAGGGGTCCATTAGGTGCAAATAGAACTTTTCCTGCTCTCTGCATTTTGGCTGGGGTCCCTAAGGTGACAGCAATAAATAGCAAGCACCTCCTTCCTCAGTTCTATAGGGACCTACTGGATACCAAAACTCACTAAAAGGTAGCCCACCTGGTCTTTCACACCCAGACTATATAAAAGGAGACTAAGCCACACTTGCTAAAAGCCTGGAGAGACTAGAAAGGGACATGAGGGGTGCTTTGTGTACTGATAATATTCAGCTTCTTGATCTGGTGCTTGAATCTTGAAATTCTCAAAGGGAGCTCATCGAAGGGAATTCCTAGGAATAGAGATCACTTGGTTGTTTTTATTTTGCTTTGAAGGTTTGAGGACATAGTAGTTGAACAGAGACCACAGCCCGCCTCATGTGCAGACCATTTCTGAAGGCAGGAGTCTGCCTGAAGCTGCCCAAGAGAGCAGCCAAAGACAGCAGCAGCAGGGGAGCATGTTCTCATGATGGTGGAGCATGACTGTATGAGTCCTCATGAGCCTTGTGGGCACCATGAAATATGTATTGAGACATCTTAAAAGGACCCCACCCTACAAGGTGGCCTGCTAGAGCAAGGAGACTCCCATATGGGAGGAGACTCCTCCCATAAGAGGCAGGAGATAAGACCACTGGGACAGGAGATGAGATGGAAGGAAGAAAGTGGGTCACAAGAGGTCAGCTGAAGAATATATCACCCATTTCAGGAACCAGTACAGCGCAAAAGTCTCAAAGTGGAGGATCTACAGATGCACATCGTGAAAAAAGGTATCAAAGGGCCCAGCACCTTAGCAGTGCCAGCCAAGAGAAAATCAAAAAGAGCCCCAATTACATAAAAGGCTATTTGCCCTTCTTTCCCTTTTGCCTAACTCCTTAACCTGGAGAAACCAAAAACAGCAAAGAAAGTGGAGGAGGGGAAGTGAGTCAGAAAGAATATTGCTTAAGCAGACTCTAAGATCAGACCCTCCTTCCCCATTTCAGGACCCCCAGTCAATGGTCAGGACTATGCTATGGAAACAAGAGAAGTTTTGAATTGGATCTGAGATCCAAGATTTGATTTAGACTCTATTGAGTCTTTTAATACTTGAGGAGTCACAATTATCAAATTAAGATTTGTTTGTTTTTTTAATGTGAAAATGACCAGACTTTAGAAGGGGACAGGGGAAGAAAACTGAGCAGCATACATTTTCAAGGCGGTCGTGGTGGCAATAATTTGGCAGGTTCCTGTGCGTAGCTGTTGGGCAATGCATTCACAATACGTTAGTCAAAACAAAACAAAACATATGCCAAGCAAAATTTCATCAGTCCTGCCCTCCACCAACAGAGACTTCTGAGTTGTTGCTTGCACAGGCTTGTCATAAATTGACCTGATCCTTGGCAAAAAGGTCTTTGTCTGTAAGACTGTTATGAAGGACCTAGTTCATTGCTTTCTTTTACTCCCTTTTCCTCCAGCCTGCTGGGCAGAGGAAAGTATACCCTTCAATCACTCCTTGAACCCACAAAGACCTACCCATAGGTCTCAATTTCTCTCTAGGGAGAGACAAGTGGCATTTTTATTTTTCTGGCCACAAAGACTTTGGGTATTTAATGCTGGGTGGAGAAGGAGAGGTACAATTTAGTTTGGAGAAAAGTAATTTAAGGACCTTTCCCAAGAAATAAAAACTTTCTCAGAAGGAAGCAAATTTAGAAATCCAAATGACTTCAAAGAGGGCTCAAGAATGGACTGGAATGATCCCTCCTTTCTCAAAACAACAAAACAAATCACAACAAATCACAACAAAAAAACCCATACCATGCCAGTAAACATCAAGAACTCAGGGATGTATGTGGACATCCCCTTTTCTCCTTCTTTCCTCTTTTCTATTCACTTCACTCTCATCCAGGATGATCTCAAATTGTTTCTCCGTCATTTATCCCACCTTGTTATTGGTTCCACCATTCTTTGAAAGCGAGCCACTTGGTCAGCCATATCTTCCTTTCACAGAGACTCAGGGAAGCAAATAAAAATTCCATGTGGAAACCAAAAGAGCCCAGAGGAAAGTGCTGTTCATTTTCTTCTGATAATCTACTCTCCTGAAAGCTTACAGTTTGGTAGAAATTCTGAATTTTCTTGAAGTAACTAGAGGTAGCACAGCTGGAATAGCAATATCTAAATAAAAATGCTGCCGACCTGCTGATATTAACTAGTCTAAAAATACCATGAAGCATGTGGTTTTCGTTACAGCAACAAAGCAACTATAGTATGACAAGCAGCCTGCCTTCCAAGATTACCCTCATTTACATGATATTATGTTACACGTGGAGCTGGACTCTTGGGCTTAAAGAAAAACAAGAGTTCCACGGCAAGAGGTGAAATGAAGAGTCAGGCACTCCGCCAGAGGTTTGAGATTACCCAGAAATGACTGAGCTCACAGTCACATGGCCTCCCTCTGCTCAGCACTCTAGCCTCACGTCACTTATTCCATTCATTTGGAACTTCTCACACGTGGCTCTTATCACAGGCCATTGTATGTAAGATCGGGGCAGAGACTACCTCTTGATCAAAACCACATAGAACCTTCCACATAGTCTTCAGCACCCATGGAGCTCAGGGGCAGTGATGCCATGTAGTTAGATGCAATATGGGTGGAAGGAACACAGACTCTGGTGCCCCAGAGCTGAGTCTCAAGCCTAGATGGCCTCTTTAAAGCTGTTTAACCTTCGGCAAGTTTTCCACTTCCCCAAGTCTCAGTTTGCTCATAAAAAGAATATTAGTATAAAAGTGGATTAATGCTATTATATTCAGACGTAAGATTCATCGCATGCTTATAACACACCATGGGTTCCACTTCACGTTGTCACGTGCACTATTTTATTGACCATCCACAGTCCTCTCACGAGGAAAGTAGTAGTATTAACCCCATTTAGAGATAAAGATACTGTGGGCCAAGGAAATTACAAAACTTGCCAAGATGACACGATAAGTAAGTAGCTGATTCAGACCCAAGTCTGACTCATGTCAAAGCTTGTGCTCTCATCCACAGAGTTTAAAGTCAACACCTAACATGACTACACCAGGCAAGGAGCAAAGTGGTTAAAGCAGAGACTCTGGTCTCTACCAGTTCCTTGATGGTACTTGTCTGAACTTCAGTTTTCTCACCTGTGAAACGGGGACAACAGAACCTACATCTGAGTATGGCTGTAAGGATAAAATGACTTAATATGCAGATGGCTATGGGATAATTCCCAGTACATAGAGGTGACTCTGCTATGTTTACTGTTTTTATTTTTTATTTTTTATTTTTATTTTTATTTTTTTTACATTTTTTATTTATTTTTGGGACAGAGAGAGACAGAGCATGAACGGGGGAGGGGCAGAGAGAGAGGGAGACACAGAATCGGAAAGAGGCTCCAGGCTCCGAGCCATCAGCCCAGAGCCTGACGCGGGGCTCGAACTCCCGGACCGCGAGATCGTGACCTGGCTGAAGTCGGACGCTCAACCGACTGCGCCACCCAGGCGCCCCTACTGTTTTTATTTTGATAAACCACTGACATATCAGTGATGACGGGGGCTGAAATAAGAGAATAAGAAAGAATAAGCATGGGAGGCCACCAGATGACTGCTCTGTGGCACTTGTAAAACCCCCATGGGAAACTTGCAGAGATGACTAGGAGCAATTTCAAGGGTGCTGAGTTCATACTTATGCAGAAGGAGGGATCTCGGAGATCTTAACATTTTACCATAATTATAGGATTCTAGCTGGTACAACCAAGAGACATCTAGAAAGAAATGTAATGCTAAGCAGATGTATACTTCACGTATGGCCTCACAGTTGAAGTCTGGAGAGTCAGGCTAGAGCAGTGCCCTGATGGCTTGGTCCCGGCTGCACCCCTGGAGGTACCGCTCCAGCCATGATGTCACTATGTGAAGTCACGTGACGATCATGAAGCTCACATGCCAGCTGATGCACCGTGAGGGAGCTGACTTGCCCTGTTCATCAACCCCAT